AAAAAAAAAAAAAAAAAAAAAAAAAAAAAAAAAAAAAAAAAAAAATCACCCGCAGAGCGCAACCCATACAGGACACAAGCAAACAAAAGAGATTTGCATTCACCTAATCAGAATAACTAGGTTAATAGCCTTTTTTTTTTCAATCCTGCCTCCTTCTCTTTTGTTCTTTTTTCCCCCGTGTTATTCCTTTGAACCAAGGACTTCAAGTTAAATCAACGATTTTTTTCGTAGCATCCAATACTAGCTCTGATGTAATAATGATTTTTGCTTTTACATAATATGCCCGCTTTATTTTTTATTCAATCCATGCTAAGGAGGCGAAACTGATTTCTAGACTCCGAAGCCCAATAACAGAAATAGAAATGTTTTAATATCCTTTTACTCTGTAATCTTTTGCTTTCTGGGCCAGGAATCTGATTTCAGCTTAAGGCCATCCATCCCTTCCTTTCTTCTTGGATTACGTTTTATTTCCAACCTACAATTAACACAATTAAAATTTTAATTATTTAAAAAAACTATAAAGTTTTCAATTTCCTTCACCATGAAATCCACTAAATGACTAAAATTATATGTGCTATTATGTACACAGTGTGTTATAATAATGCTAGACATTGATAAAAAATAAGATATTTTACTCATCCCTCTGACAACTCTGTGAAATGGTTTAACCACCATTCTTTTACTAGTTTAATAAGCTGAAACAGAATTTTAGTCATGGTTTGCTAGAGTCCAAGCAAAATAGCATTTGAATCTAACTATACAACCTCCCACATCCCAACAAACTACACCTGACCTCATCTGAGAAAACTGAAGCACAGGAAAGAGAAGTGACTTGTCGAAGGTAATGCAGGTGGTTGAGTCAGCATTGTATGCTCAAACAAACAAACAAACAAACAAACTGGGTTTATTTTTCTATTTCCAAGTGTGGTCCAGAAAATGCCTTACACATATGTTTGATTGTATTTTATCCAATTTCTTAGTTGAACCAAAGAAAGTCCACAGTTGCCTAGTAATTAAATAAGCTAAAATCCTATTTTGACTGAGTCATCTAGACAGACTTCAAATTTATTGGGTATGCAAGGAGTCCTTCAATGTAGAACTCCTTGCTTCATTTATCCCTTAAGATAGCATTTGTTGAATACATCAGCAAGAACTGGAAACATCTCATTAAGAATTTAAAACAATTCAGACAGATAAGTGAAAAGTTCAAAGTGGAAATATTTTAACTGAAATGAAGGTTTTTTCTTTCAGGGAAAAAGCAGTCCATTCAATGTTGACTTCATTTTCTTGTTTGATTAATAGATAAAAATAATTTGCAATTGGGGCATTGATTGGGTCCCAATGGACACTATAAAAGTACTACTGAGTGAATTTGACAACATTTACATATTGGTCTTCACTTTTAAGTGGGGGGGACCATTTCTTCTCAATACCTTATTTTTACAATTAATTTGCCTTTTAAATCTTTTTTCTCCCCTTAGAAAGGAAAGAAGGCAACCTTCAGTACCACATTGTCTTTTTTATTATAAAGCACAGACTTTGAGACTTGGAAGGGACCTCAGTAGCCATCTAATTCAACTCAAAACTGAAAAAGAATTCCCACTGCAAACCAGTAAGGCAAGTGATCAACCAGCCTAAGTCTGAAGATTTCTACTGAGTGTAAACCCACTGCCTCGTGAGACAGCCCATCTCACTTGTGGATAGCTCTAATTATTAGTTAGCAAGTTATTCCTTGAATCAAGCCTAAATTGGGAACTTCCCACCCAGGATCCATGGAGCCAAACAAAATAAGCAAACACTTGAAGACAGCTGTCATGTCTCCCCTCCTGCCCAAATTAAACAATCCTGTCTCCAGCAACAAATCCTCATAGAATGTGTGCTGGCGACCTTTCACCATTCTGGTTCCATTCCTCTGAACATTCTACAGTTTATTAATGCCCTTTCTAAACTGTGATAGAACTGAACAAAATGCTCCAAATGTGAGCTGACAAGGTCAGAGTACAGTTTAACTTCTGTACTCATGGGAGCCATGCCTCCTTCAATGGAGTCTAAGAATCCCTTAGTTTTTCTGGCTGTGTATGAGTCTATTGACTTAACCCCAAGATCTTTTTCATGCCAACTGCTGCCTAACTATACTTCCACCATCTTGATCATTTTTTTTTGATTGAGCCAAATCAATCAATCAACATGTACTTGTTAAATTACCACTATGTGCCAGGTATAATGCTATACACACACACACACACACACACTACATATATATATATATATGGCCGTTTTTAGGGGAAAGGCAGGTTGGAGAATTAGGAAAAGCCTTAAGTAGAAAGAAGTGTTTGACTTAAGATTTGAAAATAAAGAGGGATTCTAAAAAAGCAGAGATGAGAAGCCTCAGGAAGGAGTGCGTTCTAGGCATGAGGAACAGCAAGAACAAAGGTGTGGAGAAGGGATATGCAGTGTGAGAAGGCCAGTCTGGCTAAATTGAAGAGTTTAGGGGATGGGAGTAATACATAAAAATACTAGAAAGGTTCATTGGAGCCAGCTAGTGAAGAACTTTAAATACTAGCAGAGGAGTTTTATATTTAATGTGAGGTAGTGGGAGCCACTAGAATTTATTATTATTATTTTTGGCAAGGCAATCAGGGTTAAGTGACTTGCCCAAGGTCACACACAGCTAGTAAGTGTCAGGTGTCTGAGGTCAGATTTGAACTCAGGTCCTCCTGACTCCAAGGCCAGAACTCTATCTACTGCCCCACCTACCTGCACCTAGAATTTATTAACTAGGGGACTGACATGTTCACACTGTTGTTCTTTTTTTGTTTGTTTTAAGAAAATCATTTTGGCAGCTATATGGAGGCTAGATTAGAGAAGGGGTACATTTGAGGTAGATAAGTAATTTAGGAAGCAACTGGAGTAGTCCAGGCAAAAGCTGATGAAGGTTTCAAGTGATGGTCAGGTGAATGGAGGAAAGGAAATAGAGGGAGAGATGTCTTGAATTTGGTAACTGATTGCATTGGGTGAGGGAGAATGGAGAATGGTGGTTGACTCTAAGGTTATGAGCTTACATGACTGAAAGTATGATATTATCCATGACTGAAATAGGGAAATTCAGAAGAAAAATTTGTTTTGGGGAAAAGATGAGTTCTGTTTTGGATGTGTTGAGTTTGAGATGCCAAAAGGACATCCAATTTGAAATGCCCAATAGGTATGTTTTATGGAGTATGTCAGCTACTGCTCCCAATTGGGCTAGTCCACATGTCTCCATCTTTTCCACAAGATTCTGTGAAATACCTCATGAAACACTTTGTTGGTCAAATACAGTATTCCCTGATCTACTTGTTTGGTGTTGCGTTAAAAAAGGAAACAGGTTAATCTGATATGATCTGTTCTTGTTAAAGTCATGCTGGCTGTTTGAGAGAAATTTTTCTTCTGGTATATGTTTACTAACCATCTCTTTAGACCCATTCTAAAATTTTGCTATGAATCTAAGTTAAGCTCACTGGCCTATAGTTTGCAGACTATTCTTTTCTCTCTTACTTTACCTGTTTTCAATCCTGTGGTAGCTTGATAACCATCCACATATGAGGGGCAATGGCCTAGCAATCCCTTTCGGCACTCCCTTCCCACTCTGGAGCATCCTTCACTCAGCTGTCAGAGTAATCTGCCTAAAGCAGAAGTCTGACTACTTACACCTCCCCTTTCCCCAACCCTGTTCAATAAATCTCAGTGCTTCCCTATTGCCTCCAGGATCAAATGTA